AAAATTAGCAATAGTTAGCAAGTGGTCTGATGAGTTGGGTAGCGCCAACGAAACGATCGTCACCACAGCTGCTACTTGTCTATTGACAAGTTATTTTTGTTGTTTTTAGATACAGTCGGAGCCTTTGATTTTTATAAAATCGAAGCCGACTGAGACCTCAAGTCTGCAATTACGAATATTTTTATTATTTTTTTTTTTTAATTCATTGTTCGGCTGAAGATTGAGGATGTCAATTACCACTCTAAGTAAATGACCAACCAACTCGCGGAGTAATGCGCGCCGATGTACGGCCGACTATAGGGACGTATATATGTATGTACGGAGAAATGTATAACGGGTCCGAAGAAGTTTTTTTTTTTTTTTATTAGGCTTTGCTATTATTTATTGAATCTTCTCATTTATGAGATTAACAATAAGTGTATCAGTCTTACAATACTATCTAACTAGTAGTCATGAGACTGGTACAGAGTAAATGGCCCTGACTAATTATGGCTGGGTTGGATGGTCGTTACGTAGTAGGCGGCTTCTTCTGGAAACTCGTATCCAGTCCCTTGCTAGAGGATTTGGATGGGCGGAGAGTTTTTCCTTGTAGGACGCTTTTTGTTTTTCTATTTCGTTCTTAACTGCAGGAATGCCGAGATCCCTGTTGATATGTTCATTGCGAATATACCATGATGCCCCAGTGATAGTTCTCAGGATTTTTGATTGGGCGCGCTGTATGATGTCTAGACGCGTTCCCCCAAAGCTGGGAGCCATACGTCCATATTGGCTTCAGTGTGGAGTTGTAGAGCAGGACCTTGTAGTCCAGACACAGGGGCGATCGGGAGTTTATGAGCCAGTGGAGGCTGCTGGCTTTTATTTTTAGATGAATTTTCTTGCATTCAATGTGTCTTCGCCATGTTAGGCGTCTGTCCTGGTGGACTCCTAGGTACGTTACCACGTTGATTTCGGGGATCTGCGTGCTGTTCAGGTAGAGCGGAGGGCATGTTTGTCTGTTGAGAGTGAACGTTATGTGCTTACACTTTTGTTCATTTATTTTAATACGCCAATCAGATAGCCACTTCTCGACTACCTTGAGGTGGTTGGCGAGCTGGGTTGTTTGCCGGACTGGGCATCTGGAATGGCTGAGGATCGCAGTGTCGTCAGCGAAGGTGGATAGTGTTAGCTGGTCGCTTGTGGGGATATCCGCTGTGTATAGGACAAATAGGGTAGGCCCAAGTGCGCTTCCTTGTGGAACTCCAGCTTCGATTGAATAGGTGCCGGATGTTGTTGCGTTGCACCTCACTGCGAAGACTCTGTTGTAGAGATACGACTCAAGTAATTTGTGTGTGTATTGAGACCATTGAGCCAGACGCGGTCGAATGCTTGAGAAAAATCTAGAAATATTGCGCTGCAATATTCTCGATGCAAATTGATGAGCTGGGATGATGTTGTGAGCTCCCAGATAAGGAATTATGCGCTTTAGTTGGCATTTTTCAAATAATTTGGACAAGCATGATATGGTCTTTTCCGGGCTTCGGTATCATTATAATTATAGATTTTTTCCATTTAGTTGGGTAATGGCCGAAACTTATGATCCCATTGAAGATTTTACAGATGACCTCAATAGCACAATTATCATTTTTTGTGTTATTAGGTCATCGCCGGGAGCCTTTTTCGGCTTCAGTTCCCTGATGACCTTCGTGATCTCGTTCGGACGAAATGATGCTGGAGTAGATTCCGTTTCAGTTTGGTTTTGCGGTAGTTCAAATGGTAGTTCAAATGGATGTGCAGCAGGGTTCGGCTGGAAAACGCCCTGGAGATGTGAGGCAAAAGTTTCGGCTCTGTCTTTGTCGCTGCGGGCCCAATAACCAGATGATTTTCTAATCGGGGTAATGGTTTTAGTCGGAGAGCTTAAGTTTGGGTGAGCTCTCCATAAGGGATGCTTTGTGCTGGTTGGCGAGAGTTTCTCAATTATCTTAATTGTGCATTTTCGGCATCTTGCTTCAGGGCCCGGCATAGTTTGCGTGTGGCTTCATTAAGACGTTGCTTTGAGCATGGCGATCTATTGTTTTGCCACGCCCGTCGCAGGCGCCTCTTTTCTTGGATAAGCTGTTCAATCTGCTGGTTTGTTTTGAATTTGATTTTTTGCACATCCTTCTGTTGTGGTGTTGAGATCCTGGCTGCAGTCACAAGTACCTCTTCCAGAGCGGAGGTGGAGGAGTCGATGTCTGCTTCAGTATTGAGCTGGGGGGCTAGCTCAATGTGGGAACTCACATACTTTTTGTATTTCATCCAATGTGTTCTGTGCGACGTCAGCCTTTAGGGGCGATCCGTAGTTTCTGGGCTTTGAAGAAGGGTTATCAACAGCGGCGAGTGATCTGAAGAGAGGTCCGGAAGGGCGCTGGCGTTTATTAAATTGCGTGGGATGTTTTTTGTCACCGCGAAGTCAATTAGATCAGGTATCTTTCTGGGGTCTGCTGGCCAATCGGTGGGGCTACCAGGGGAGACGTAGTCCAGTTTATTTCTCACATTGATGAGAGCGTTATACAGTTGTTCTTCCCTTGGGGGTCACGAGGCGGGATCCCCAATGCGTGTGCTTGGCGTTGTAATCTCCTGCAGCTATGAAACGATATCCAAGAGAGTTGTAAAAGTCCATGAATTGGCCTTCAGAGATTGTAAAGCGAGATGGGCAGTAGACAGCAGCAATGCAAAGGTCGCCGTTACCTACCTGGACGTAGCTTGTAAGTAATTTGTTGCAAACCTTTGTTGAAAGTGGTGTTTGATGCGTTCTCTGATAAGGAGCGGTCCGCCGTGGGCTTTACCATCTGGATGATCTGTGCGGTGGAAGGTATAACCTCTTATATGGAAGTTTTATCTGCTTGTGAGGTGCGTTTCAACCAGTAGCATGGCGTCGATGTGGTTTTCATTTAGGAATTGTGTTAGTTCAAGTTTATGCCGTGAGACGCCGTTGGCATTCCACGTGGATATACGTAGATTAGACATTGATTATTTCGACTGTTGTGCTACGAGCAACTGTATCACCATATTCTGATTCTGGACGAGCGTTTGCATGGTCGTTTTCATAAATGACATGAGTACAATCATACTTTGTTGCATGGTCACCATCATGGATTCCAGGTTGTTTTGTGGCCGCCCTGGAGCCTGCTGAGCATTTACTGAGTTTGAGGGGAGTGGATTTTGCAAACCTGTCCGTAGGGCTTCGGCGTAGAAGATGCCCGTGGGGGCATTTAGCGGACCAAAAGAAGATCTGGGTGCTTTGGCAAAAAATACATCTGGAGTAGTTTTTGAATTATAATACATATTTTGTGTATTTTGTTGGCGTGTAGCTGTCGCTCTTCGCATGCGACTCTTCAGTTCCTTGTAGACCACACAGCCTCTGTAGTTAGCTGTATGGTTTCCTCCACAGTTTCCACATTTTTTCGTGTTGGGGTCTTCTTTGTTCGCAGGGCAGTGTGCGGAGTTGTGGAAATCTCCACAGACTACGCAGACTGACCGAAGGGTGCGGTATGTCCTTGTATGACCATACTCCTGGTAATTTGTGCATTGCACAGGACCGTTGCGTTTTTGCGGTTCTTCCATGGTGATTCTTCGATGCAGTAAGAACTGCAACTTGCAGATCGGGTGAACTTCATTCTTCTTTAGGGCTTTACTGTCTGGCTCAAGTTGGACTTTGAAAAGTGGTTGCGGCTTTTTGTTTTTGTTGATAATGTTGCTAACATTCTTCGCAAAGAAACCCTTGCCTTTCAGGGCTTCTAGTATCTCAGAGGGGGCGACTTCTGGTTCAATTTCTTTCAGCACAACTTGCAGTCCCTTGCTGCTTTTTAGTTGGTGGGTGTAAAAGTTCTTTTTGGATTCCTGCAGGTAATTAGACACAGCTCAATAGTGTTCTTCTGATTTGGTTTGAACTTTGGTTTCGCAAATGTTCCCTTTAATAATCGGAACAACATGAAAATTTCCGTCCCCGACCACCGCAACAATTTTGTTGACCAGGGCGTTTGAACTTTTCTCCCTAATATAAATAGGTGGGGGCTTTGGCTGTTTTTGAGTCTTCTGCTCCGGCCCTGCTTGGTTATTCTCATCAGCTGCTAGCGGAGAAAATTTGTTGGAGTTGTTTGGGTCGTAGCTTTTGGTGACACGGTTGATCTTAGGCTTGTTACCAACCGTGTTATGTGGGCTAAGCTTACGCTTAATTTGGATGTAGCGATCCATGCCAGTCTGTATCGCCGGAACCGCTTGTTGCTTATCGGAACTCACGGTTTTTGTTACCATTGAATTTGGCGCTGCGGCCGTTGGCACCGATTTTGCAATATGGGTCGTTGGTTTAGTTGTTGTTGTTGCTTTTGTTGCGTTTGCAGAAATTGCAGCACTGCTTGTTGTTGGTACGTCTTCTATCGAAGCCGGTGGTGGTGGGGTTTGGCATTCGTAGCTCCAAGATGTAGGTGTTGGAGTGAGTAGGGCGGGTGAGCAAGAGCGCGCTCTCTTGTCATCGGCGGTCAGTAGAGCCGGGTTTTTTCTGCTTCGATATCGCGAGTTGAGAAGTAAGCTAAACAACCGTTTCTTTGGTTTACAGGGCTTCTACGCTCATTCTTTTGATCGCCGCTCATTATTTAGAGCTTGTCCGAAGAAGTGGAAGAAAAAAAAACTCAAAAGGAACGGCGATAATTATGGCGTTGTAGACCGAAGTGCAGGCAAATAGATGTGGAGAAAATCGGATTTGGATATAGATTTTTACGTTGTCTAATTGCCATGGTGTCGGAAAACTTGGACTAGGAGTTGACAAAAATCGTACGCAGGTTGACCGAAATTTAAATTTCAGACAACTATTGACGACCGGCAATTAGAGACGGGAGGAAACTTTTTACTTATCTTTTTGCGATGGTACCACCTAAGCTGCTGGGAAAAAAAGATTCCAGGACGATGTCCTTATCCGGCTCGAAGGACCATGTTCAGGAGGGGGGTGGCGAGGAAATCCTCCTCAAAAGGATGCAGTAACAAATTTATCCCACGAAGAAGAAAAAGTCGCTGAAGCCATGATGCTCGACCTTGAAATGGGGTCGGAACGCGACCCATCGGGGAATGCGGATCTGATCGAGAGCGGAGTAGTGTCCCAGGAAGTCAACCCATCTCTGGCAGAAATCTCGAGGGAGGTCATCGTCCCATGCTAGATCTTGGAGCCAAATTTCCTGCATGAACATCTTTGCCTGGACGATGAAGGGGGCGAGCCAGCCCGCTGGATCAAATAACTTGGCAATCTGGGATAGGACCTGTCGCTTCGTGAACGATGATCCCGCGGTCAATTCGCGCGGAATGAAAAAGAACTCATCAGACGTCGCTTTCCAACGTACGCCGAGAGTCTTAGCCGTGCTCTCTGCGTCTATCTCGAGGAAATCAGCGCGCAGGAGATGGTCACTTTGGATGTTGGCCAAAATGTCCTTACTATTGGACGTCCATTTCCTCAGTGGGAACCCTGCCGAACCCAGGGCACCCTGGAGCTCACGGATAGCCACCTTCGCTTCGATTTTGGAGTCTGCCCCGGCGAGAACGTCGTCGACGTACATGAAATGACGGATAATCTGACTCGCCTGAGGATACCTTGACTCCTCGTCGTCGGCGAGCTTCTGGAGGACACGGATCGCTAAGAACGGGGCACAATTGACTCCTAAGGTAACCGTCTTCAGCTCGTAGTCGCGGAGTTCCCCATTGGAATTGCGAAACAGGATGCGCTGGAAAGGAGTATGCTGGGGATCTACCCAAATTTGGCGATACATCTTTTCGATGTCGGCATTGAACACAAACATAAAGTACCTCCACTTTAGGATTTGAATCGTGAGGTCGGATTGTAAGAGCGGGCCCGCATATAGAATGTCATTCAGGCTGGTCCCGTTTGCGGAGGGGCTCGAAGCATTAAAAACCACACGGACCTTAGTGGTGGTGCTTTCAGGCTTCAAAACCGCATGATGAGGAAGGTAGTATGTGGCGGAACTGCTCGTCGACGGAACCTCGGCCATGTGACCTAATTCGAGGTATTCTTGGATGACAGCATCATACCGGGCCTTGAGGGGAGGATCCCTCTTTAGGCGCTGCTCGTTACGCAGGAACTGAGCCAGAGCAAAGGATCGCGAAGATGCGAGCTCGGACCCCTTGTGTGCGGGGTCGCGTAAGGGAAGCGTTACCACGTACTTGCCACAGTTGTCTCTTCGTGTAGTTTGGACGAAATTCTTCTCACAGACAGAATCAGACTCTGGGACAATCTGTTTGGACACTTCCTCCACCTCCCAGAATTTGGTAAGGAGCTGGTCTAGGGAGTCGTCGAGGGCGCAGGTAACTCGTGTGGCGAAGGCGGTAACACTGCGGGGGGCCGCTGGAGATACTGGGCCTGTCAACACCCATCCAAAAATGGTCTCCTGGCCAAGAAGGGAGCCGCAAATGTTAGCCTTGGAGTTGCCGAGGAGAATAGACGGAAGAATGTCGGCTCCTATTAGGACATCGATTTGGGAGCTCTCAAAGAACTTGGGATCCGCCAGGGGGATGTCAGGAAGCCCCTTAAGAAGATCTCGTGGGACTGGATACGAGGGCAGACTCCCGGCCAGCTGCGGAAGAACGTAAGCTGCAGTCTCTAACTGCAGCCCGGGTCTGGAGGGCGATCGCATGGAAAACTGGCAGAGCTTCGTGGACTGAGCGGCAACGGTGTGATTCAGGCCCGAGACTTGGGCTTGGATAGTCGTGAACGGAAGTTTGACGAGGTTGAAAAGCCTCTCCGTGATGAATGTCGCCTCGGAACCCGAGTCGATTAAGGCTCGCGCCTGGAAATTGCACCCTAAATGGCAAATGTCAATGAGGGCTGTGCCCAGTAAAACGGCCCTTGAGCCCGAAGCGAAACACACCTGCACATCAGGATGATCCTCAGGAGTGGCCGCGTGTCGAGGCCTGGCTGGCGCAGGTGGACTTGGAGCGGTCGCGAATGGATTACCGTGGTGCAGGAGGGTATGATGGCGACTGTGGCAAGTGAAGCAACTATGGGCACTATTACAGTCCCGCTGTTGGTACCCTCGCGCAAAACAGTTAAGGCATAACTGTTTTCTCTTAATATAGTCGGAGCGACTATTTACGTCCATCTCGAGGAACCGTGGACACACGCGAATCGGATGGTTCTCCCTGGAACAAAGATCACATCCTCTTTGGGCCGGAGCCACTCTGGCCTCGTAGGAGTTGAGCCTGCATGCTGGGGCGTCCGCAGCCGTCGGTCTTGGCGGAATTTGCCCTGCTAGGCCTGATGTCGTCGATCGCTTCCAGAGTGCGATGCCGCTCTGTCAGAAACAAATCTAACTCGTTCCAGGTCGGAATTTCAGCCTTATTGTGTATGGATTGCTCCCACATCGAAAGTGTGATTTTGGAAAGCTTTAAGGAAACCATATACACTAAGAGACAATCCCACGCCTCGATTAGAATGGAGGACATCTCTAAGGCTGTCAGACAACTTTGGACGGTGCCTTGCAGTTCTTTTAGAGCTGCTCCGCTTTCTTGGGGGACTGCTGGAAGGTTGAATAGGATTTTTAACTGGCTGTTGACGAGCAACCGCCGATTTTCGAACCGTTCGGTGAGGCTCTGCCATGCGGAGATGAACCCTTCGTTTGTAAGAGGGGCCTTCGACACAATGGCATGTGCATCGCCACTTGTCTTTGACAACACCGGTGTGAGACGCGAATTCTGGATATAGATCGCCGTAAAAAGGTCTCGGAACGTTGGCCACCGAATATAGTCCCCAGTGAAGACTTCTGTGTCCACTGGTGGCAGACGACAACCCGTAGAAGGGGGTGGTTGACTACTGGCGGAAGCCTGTGTGGGTTGGAAGGCGGCCCTGTCAATTACGTCCTGCAGCTGAAACATACACTTCGAAAACACAGAATAGCAGTAACTATACTTCGATTCTAGCTCTGATGCAATGGTCGGAGGGTCGTCGGATTCGGCAAGGAGGTCGGAGCAGCTTTCATAGCTTTTCTCCACCTTTTCCCACAGGGCCCTAATTTGGTCCCGGTGGATTTGGCACATGCCAGGGGGCAATCTGTCCGTGTCAGGTGCAGGTTAGCCTCGAAGTGGCTAACACGGTCTGTTGTGGCAATAAATTTCTTGAGGGCAATATCTATCGCCTTTTGAGCCATCTTGGACACGGATCGCGTAGATCTGGATGAGGTACTGGGGGCAGTGTCGAGGGCCTCTTGACTTTTTGCCCTTGGAGTGGGAGTGGCCGCCTTTGCCTTTAATTGATCAGGCCGAGGAGATCCGGACTGGGACCCTTCCAGAGTGATTGCTGGAATCAGAGGAGTCTGTTCCTCGTCTCCCGTGGGCATCCTTGAAGTCGAATGGGTCGCGAATCAGTTGGTCGCCGCAGGAAACGGACAAGTCCCGAACTCAATGGTTCGAAAACGTGACGGAAAACAAGTTTTGGAATGGGACTTGGGATCACTTTGGCAAAGGGGCGCAATAGGAACTGCCGGAAGCCGCGGAATTGTATAACTTATGCAGTACAAAATATCCCAGAAAATTCCGCACTCGGAGGGGAGGACAATGTGCTCGCTTACGGTCACACTGCCAGTGGCTGCTGCGGGTGAATTCAAGAATTAAATGCCGGGCTCAGGTTCTGAGAGCCTCGGGCACCACCGAGCAAAAAAAATTGACGAAAACTCGTGAAGGAGGAAATCACTCGAGTAAGGGCGTCAGGCGCCGACTTGGACAAAAATAAATAAAACAACGAACGTCGACCGGAATGTCGAGGAACAAAAAAATTCTGTATTTAGGGGTCTCGGATGAGAAAGTTGTATCCGGCTTTGGTCGGCTCAGAACAGGACTAAACAGTGACCCACGAATGTTTGGTTTCTTCCCGCAATAAATGAATTAATCCACCAATAATTCGAAAAAAATTATTGGCTGCAAATAATTAGTTAATAATTCGGAAAATTATTGGCCGCAAATACTCCACTAAGAATTCGAAAAATTATTGGCCGCAAATAACTTATTAATAATTCGGAAAATTTATTGCGGAGCCGGAAAGGTGGAATTAAAACCTTGGCTTTTGTTTGGAAGAACACGGGCACTGGGTTCTGCCGCCGGCAAAAACAACCCCAATAAAAAACACAGGTTAATTTGGAAAAGGCGGAAAAAAAAACACAGTCGTAATCGCACCCGTGAATTGATTTGCCGTTTTGTCCTAAACGTTTGTTGTTTTGTCGCGGTTTATATATATATATATATTTTAATTTTATTTTAATTTATTTTATTTGAATTTTTTTTAGTTTATTTATTGGTCGTTCCTGTGTAGGAGGCAGAAAATATATTGTATGGGCATGCATGCATATGGAAATATATGTGTATGTGTAAGGCTTGTGATTCACAGTGGAGCTTCGAGAAGTGGACTGTATTTGGATTGGCGGAATAGCACAAATTATGTGGAGAAAAAATTGCACACAAAAAAATATCGCGGCAGCGGCGAACTGTTCGGCGAACAGGGAACTCCCGAAACAATTACTTTCCGGATGCCGAATATTAATTATGCCTTTATTTTTCTTCACCACACAATTTCACTTTGCCTTTGTGTGTGTACACCGGAGCAACGGAGGAACCGAGAATCGAAAAAAACCAGGAATATGGCGACACACACAAAGCGGAGGCGGATTGAAAATTTCCACGAAACGACGAGAATGGAGGATTGGAAATTCCTCAACTGCCGTTGTGTCAGGAAAACTCGGACTTGGAGTCGACACGGAAAACCTTGCAGCAGAGTGAACGAAATTTATGTTCGGACCACTGCTGAAGATCGGCAGAGAGGGGGGAGACGGAATGCTCGTACTTATCTTGGTGGAGAGAAACGCCAAGAACTGCTGGGGGCGGAGTCGAAAATAATCCGGAGTCCAAAAAAAATCCGGCTCTGTGGACCAAAATGTTGGGGCGGCGCTTCCTTCCTTCGGGAAAAGTGGAGTTTTAGAAGATGGAAAATTCCCACGGCGCAAGCGAAGTAGTGGCGAAGTAGAAATAAAAAACGGGGGCGTCGTAGGGAACTTCACACGTAGTCGATCAGCTTTATTTCGCTGCATACATGGAACTAATTCTAAGCTTAAGCAAACGGCTGCGCTCCCGCCCGCTTACTTCGCTAAGCGAGAGCGAGAGAGCGGCAGCGGCCGATCCAAGTGTTCGGCAGCGCAGCCCGAGGCCCGCGCTCGAGAGTGCGAAAGCGCTCAGCGCTGCGGGAGAGCGAGCGCGGGAGAGCAAGAGGGCGAGAGCAGCCCGAGGCCCGCGCTCGAGAGTGCGAAAGCGCTCAGCGCTGCGGGTGAGCGAGCGCGGGAGAGGAAGAGGGGCGCGAGCGGAAAGCTCAGCCGGCAGCGGTGGTACAATGGGCCGCGTACCTAAACACATATGTAATTGGATAAGCATGCAAAATATGTAGGGATGAGTTGTCTTTATTTTGTACAGTGGAAACCCGATAACGGAACTGCTGAAGGCGTACAAAAAATATTTTGGAGACAGAAAATATATTTATATATGGGCATGCATAACACATACAGTAAAGCGTCGAGGAGTGGACTGCATTATTTGAATTTGAAGAAACAGTTTCCAGAAAATATCGTGGCCGCGGGAAAATCTAGTGAACGAAAATATGTTGCCGAATGCGGCAACACGAACTTTTCACTGTTCAATTTTCATTATTATTCATTCAGGCCTGCTCCGGTAATCGTAAAATTTTTTTGATTTCGTTTTGGGCGAAAACGAACCGTTTTCGTTTTTAGCTGCTCCGGTTTTCGGCAAATTTCTGCTATCGGAATCTTTCGTTTTCTCATCGTTTCTCACTGCTCAAGCAGCTAACTTGTGTTTTTGGTAATAAGCAAACAACGTAAAGTACTGCCTATTATATTTACAATTGCCCTTTTTATAAGCCAGAAAAAGGCAGAAAATGCTAGAGTTAAGTAAATCTAGGCATTTAAGATGCTGCCACACTATTCACTGTTTTATTTCCGGTGGTCTCAAATAATTATTTGGTCAATTTCGACCATTTAAGTAATCACATTAAATAGCATTATTTATAAACAACCATTTATATTTTATAAGTATTTTTAACTGGCTGTTTCGTTTAAACAACAATATGGCAACCTTGGCGATAACTTTTTGCGGTGAACTTATCGACCTATCGCCAAAACGAAAAAACTGGTGAACACGGCAAAAATTTTGTTGTCAAATCTGAGGTGGGGTCAAAAATAAATTTTTTATAAAATAACTACGTGCCAGAATGATCATGTGTATTTTTATCCTTTTGTAAATAAGATCTGATTTCATATAAAAAAAGCCATTTACTTTTCATTCCGGCTAGAAAAAGGTGCCCTTTTTTTCAAATCGAAAAAATCTTTCGTTTTCGATTACCAAAGCACGAATGCTAACAAATATAGGTCGATGCTAACATAAACAACTAAACCAAAGGGGAGATTCGCTCCAAAAAAAGCCCACGCCACTACGCCCTACGTAAAATCTTTAAAGCTTGGCTTTTGGCAAGTCTGACATACTTGCATGCCAAACAACTGGTTAAAACCAACAAAAAGAACTATTGCCGATTTTCGGGGTTTTTTGTTGCCTTTACATCGAAGCTTACGATTCTCAACGGGTCTAAGCGTAGATTATAAGTAAAGTACCAAAAAAATTAGCAATAGTTAGCAAGTGGTCTGATGAGTTGGGTAGCGCCAACGAAACGATCGTCACCACAGCGCTACTTGTCTATTGACAAGTTATTTTTGTTGTTTTTAGCTACAGTCGGAGCCTTTGATTTTTATAAAATCGAAGCCGACTGAGACCTCAAGTCTGCAATTACGAATATTTTTATTATTTTTTTTTGTAATTCATTGTTCGGCTGAAGATTGAGGATGTCAATTACCACTCTAAGTAAATGACCAACCAACTCGCGAAGTAATGCGCGCCGATGTACGGCCGACTATAGGGACGTATATATGTATGTACGGAGAAATGTATAACGGGTCCGAAGAAGTTTTTTTTTTTTTTTTTATTAGGCTTTGCTATTATTTATTGAATCTTCTCATTTATGAGATTAACAATAAGTGTATCAGTCTTACAATACTAT